TGTCTCTCTCTCTCTCTCTCTCTCTCTCTCTCTCTCTCTCTCTCTCTCTCTCTCTTTCTCCTCTTCTCATGCTATCCCCACTTTGCTATTGCTGCTCTATCTCTCTCTCTCTCTCTCTTTCTCTCCCTTGCAAATACATATATACGCATATATTCTCTCTTTCTCTACTTATATGTCTCTTTCCGTCTTTTTTTCTTGTTTGTTCATTCATTCTTCTCTCTGTTCAACCACCGAATGGTTGACAGTCGAGTAGACACCTCGGAAACGCCTTATTTCATTTTTATTCGTAAACGAACGAATGAACATCCGAATAAGCATTCGGATCCCTTTGATGATCCTAATTAATATTTCCACGAGAAATGTTCGATCTTGACAAATGAAACGACAATATTATATGTATGTATATATATTGGGCGTGAGTTCGTTTCTTCGAACGTTACAAAATACGACGATGCAAAGAATCCGAGTAACAGAATTACGAAGGCGAAAGAAATAAAATTCTCAAGAATAAAAGGTGAATGTTTATCGTTTTGAAACGTAAAACAAAAAGATAATGCGAAGAAAAAAGTATAAGCATTAATCGTACGATGATTAGATTGTTTTCAAAAAAATGTTATATATAATTTTTCTATAACTCACCGCAACAAGAGCTGCTAATCTATCCTTAGTCATGGCGAGGGTGACAAAGTGTTGCGAGTCAGCAGATGTACGGAGTGATGAGACTAGCGACTAATCCCATTCACGATTTTATCCATGTACTATGAGCACGACCACTAAAAACTAAAGGAAACGGACGCACTAGCGGCGAGAGACACGATCGTAAAATCGATACACTCGCGAACTCGCCTGCTTCTGCAGTGCCGTCCGGTGTGCTACGCATGCGCCGGTGACGTCAACTATATTCAGGACCGAAGCTAGACCTCATCGTAGCCCCATCTTAACGAATGCCCCCACCCTTTCCGTTACCGATCACATACTTTACAAATTTCCTTTCGTATCATCGATATTTATATATCTATAAAATGGAAAACGTTAGATTTCAAATCTTTTCAATTGTTCGATTTTAAATTTATCGATATATAAATATCGTTTTATAAACGAATATCTTTTCTAATCTTTGTATTTCGTTTTATCAATTAAATACGAAATATTGGAATCTTTTTTTTTTTTATAAAAGAGATCTGAAGAATATCGAAAGATACGATAAATATGATTTAGAATTTATTTTAATGTATAATGTTCATTTAATATGTTGAAACAAAAGGAAGAAAAAAGAAATAATTTATAAAAGAATTAAACGAATTAATTTCAAATTTAACATTTACCGCCTTTACGTACCCCAATGCATCATTCCATGCCCTCATACTTATATGTATACGTATATTATAATTCTCCCGTTAAAAACTGAAATTCTTCGATACCGGCTTCGATGTGGCGCGCATAAAATAGATGTCGCTAACTCACGTTATTTTCTTCTTATAATTTTGAAAAAAAAATACTCTCGTAAATATTATTTTAACAATTTAAATCGAAGAATATTCCAATTAAATTTTTTTGTATCGTATCAATTTGATACATTTATTAAGTTGAATTATATTTTACTTGGCGAATGATGAAAATGCGGACCCCTGTCGTTGACTCGAAGGAACGCCATTGTGAACCGTAACGACTGTGTTGCAGGGTAAATTTTATCGGTCATTTTCACGTACACGTTACTTGCCGGGAAATTTTGTACTAATATTCTCAGATTTTCGTAGATTTGTAGCAAATTAATCATCGATCGTACGATTTGTTCGATCGTTTGTGATTTTGATGAAATTACGTGTAATCGTGTTGCTAGATTAACGCAAAAGCTTGTGGTTACGACGATAGGCGCCATTCTTTTAGTGGAACGTGGTGAATTTATACGTCGAATTGTCTTAAAGCGCGGGACACTGATCAACCGGCTTTTCAAATTATTATAAAAAAAATATTAGCATTCTGGTAAGTATGTTTATTTTGTTACATAAATACGACATACTACTTTCAAGTTATTACTTAGTTCAATTCAAATATCGTGATGTGTCGATCACGTTTTTGATGCGTGACTTTCGATCAGGCATTTTCATAGCAAGTATTGAATTTTTTTAATGCATATAATAATCTAATAAGCTCTTTTATCGTAATATTCGCATCCATCTAATCAATTTTTCATTCAAAGTCGTTATTTTTTTTTCCAGATCTCCGTTTGACACTACATCTTTTTGGCTAGTCATCGGTATTAAAATGGCACAAGAAGCTGATATACCTACTTTCAAATGTGTATTAGTCGGTGATGGTGGTACTGGGAAAACAACATTTGTCAAACGGCATTTAACCGGTGAATTTGAAAAAAAATACGTTGCAACCTTAGGTGTGGAGGTACATCCACTCATCTTTCACACAAATCGTGGTCCAATTCGTTTCAACGTTTGGGATACAGCTGGCCAAGAAAAGTTTGGTGGTTTAAGAGACGGATATTATATTCAAGGACAATGTGCCGTCATTATGTTTGATGTTACATCAAGAGTAACATACAAAAATGTACCTAATTGGCATAGAGATTTGGTTCGAGTTTGTGAAAATATACCCATTGTACTTTGCGGGAATAAAGTTGACATTAAGGATAGGAAGTAAAAGCCAAGAGTATCGTGTTCCATAGGAAGAAGAATTTACAAGTGAGAAATCTAACTTTCTATCTTTCTTTCTATCGTCAATATTATATAAAATTGTAAATTACGAATCCAAATTTGATTCATTTTTTTCAAGTTTCTTCTAATACGATACATTTCATTTAAAAAAGTAATAATTTCCCCTTATAATTGTTTCAGTACTATGACATCAGTGCAAAAAGCAATTACAATTTTGAAAAACCTTTCTTATGGTTGGCACGTAAACTGATCGGTGATCCAAATCTTGAATTTGTCGCAATGCCAGCTCTTCTTCCACCAGAAGTTACAATGGATCCACAATGGCAGCAACAGATCGAGAAAGATCTTAAAGAGGCTCAAGAGACCGCGTTACCAGAAGATGATGAAGATCTTTAGTTTGTCACGTCGCGCTGTATAATACGAATAGAGGCAAACCATACACGTGCATGTAAAGTACGTTGCGTACTTGTGCCTCTTCATAGGTCAAAGATTCTTTCTTGGGTGGAATTAATGTATACATACATACGCTTCTGTTTCGTATCTAATGTAAATGATGGCAAAAATATTTCTAAGATTTCACGTTTCTCGAGCTTTGTCCTTGAAGGTGTGCTACCAGGAATTGAACGTTGCGTTTTCGCGGATCAAGATTTCAAGATTGTGTAAATGTGCGTAAATGTATTAGACAAAAAGTCTAATTACATAAAAATATTGTCCAATTCGAGTATAGCGTATCCTTCGCTGATTTCATCGATAGACGTTAAATTGATGAAAACTACTTACTATAGAGAATAAAAAATTGCCCTTTTCTTTATTTACGTATTATGTATGGGTATGCGTGAGTACACGTATGTTGTTATGAAACGATGTACCTTGCGTAATGGATGCATAACTTTGTCGATCAATTAAATTTTCGGTTTTCTCTTTGAATCATCTATGCTTGTTAAAAACTCTTAAAACTCTTTTTTTTTTTCGTTACCAATTTTATATATCGTACATCGGAACAGTGTATATGAATTGCCTGTATCAGAGTGGATGAACTGTGCTGTTTGGTAATATATAAAAATGTGAGAAATTAATTCTATAAGAAAGAATCTTTCGATATGGTCGAAACGCTAACATTATAAGCAACTGTTTACACACGCGTTTGCTTGTGCTCACGCCCCGTACACATATACACACGTATACACTAAATTTGAGAGATTCTCAAAGTAGTTGAATCTTTGCTAGGTAAATAACATAACATTTTGCTGTTACATTACCAACGATAAACGAATCAAGAAATAGAATATCGATCGAACGTATAGTGCAACAATCGTTTTTGCGAATCGTCAAACGATTTTCAAACACAATTGAATCTTGGAATGTTTCGAATGGAGCAAAGCACGGTTTGTAGTCAGTTGCGCCTGTCCACGATAATGCGGACTAATATTTTTATTAGCGAAGGTGAATGTATGATTTGTTCAACTTAAATTATATAAACAGTGTTTTTCTTTTCTATACAAACTCGTTCGTTTCGTTGGGAGTCGAAGTTACATACGTTCCTTTCCCCGATTCCTTTGTTTACTTGCTAATTAAATATATACCCGTGTGTGCACGAGGGTAAAGTGTTGACAAATACCATGATATTTCTATGGTTAAGAGATAAACGCAAAAATATATACGATGAAATACCTCGTATCGTATATATCGTATATTGTACCATTGATGTATTGGACTCAATAAATCATCGTTGAACTGTTTCTTAAAGTTTCCAACATTCTCGAATCATCTAGTATCAATAACTTCAATAAATTTCTCACATTTCTCTTGAAAAAATCAAAGTAAAAAAGAAGAAAATAACTTACGTGGACGACGTGAAAGTTGAATCATTTTATAAACAATGTATGCTAAATCAATTTTATAGGAAATTATTTATTTATTTATTTTTAGAAAGAAAGGAACGAAGATACTTTTCAGTTTGATACAATGAAACGGTAATAAATGTATATTTACAGTAATAAACTACGTAATATGAAACCAATGTCGATATATATAGTAATTATCATTATTCTTATTTATTAATTACACAATGCAAGTATGCACACATATCAATATATATATGTTTTGTATGTCTGATTCTATTTGATTTCTTTCATTTATTTATACGGAATAAATGCATTTATTAAGTTAATAAGTTAAATTAAGCTTCCGCTTCTTTTTTCAATATTTTCTTTTTACCTTCGAGAATCTCTAATCGTTCAATTTCGTTAAGACTTGGCAAAATATTCGTAATTACTCCAGTTGCTATAGTTGTCTTTCCATCTCTTAAAGTAAATCGTTGTCCTTTTTCACACACCATAGGTCTTATTAATTTTAAGTTAACGCTAAAAATAAAAATTCACGTTCACGTCATATTATAATTAATCAAGTTAAGTAATTCATTTTTCTTGTCCAAAAAATATTCAAAACACAATACAAAAACTTACGTAAAATCTTCACCAGGCATGACCAAATTCTTATTTACCAAATTTAATTGACTCGCACAATCCCATGTTTTGCAAAACATTTGAACTTGTATAAGATTATTGATAGGTTTTTTTCTACCTCCTTCCTCACTAGTCAACATATATACTTGACATTCCAAATGATCATTAGCTTTTATACTGCCTGGTTTACACATTACCATACCTCTTCTGATATCATCTCTTTTCAAACCTCTTAGCAAAGCACCCATTTGATCTCCCGCTTCAGCCTCTTCCAATGTTTGATGAAACATTTCTATTCCGGTTATCGTGCTCTTTATAGTTTTGTTAAACCCAATCAATTCACATTCCATACCCTTTTTTATTTTTCCACGTTCCAATCTACCTGTGACTACCGTTCCTCTACCCGAAACTGTGTAAACATTTTCTATCGGTAACAAAAAGGGTTTGTCCAACTCTCTGAGAGGAGTAGGAATATTGCTATCCACAGCTTCTAACAACTTTAATATAGAATCATGTCCTATCTTTGGATTAGAATTATCCAATGCGCAAAGGGCGCTTCCTTTAACAAAGGGTATGTTATCTCCGTCATAACCCATTTCATTTAATAGCTCCTTTAATTCCATCTCTACTAAATCCACCATTTCTTCATCCGCAATATCAACCTTTACAAATGTAAATAAATACACGTATTTGAACATATTCCAAGTTTTTTTACACATATTCATAATCGATTATTTTACCTTATTGATAAATACAACAATGTGTTTGATACCAATCTGCTTGGCAAGCAAAAGATGTTCTCTCGTTTGTGGCATAGTACCATCGGTAGCGGCAACAACGAGAATAGCCCCATCCATTTGTGATGTACCAGTAATCATGTTTTTAATATAATCCGCGTGTCCAGGACAATCGGTATGACCGTAATGACGTTTATCCGTCTGATATTCAACGTGAGCGACATTAATAGTTATACCACGTGCTTTTTCTTCAGGTGCATTGTCGATATCGGTATATTCTTTCGCTTCTGCTAGCTCTTTCTTGGCAAGAACTATGACGAAATAATGAAAAATTTTAAGATGTACAGCAATAGAAATATTAAAGAACGAAAAGTGGAGGAGAGAATGAGGAAAAATACCTTTGGTAATAGCTGCTGTAAGTGTCGTTTTTCCATGATCCACATGTCCGATAGTACCGACATTGCAATGCGGTTTATCTCTGTTAAATATTTTTTTCGTGCTATAAAATTTTTGCGTTACCACAGTCGATAAATAAGTCCCTGCTCGTAATTGTCCATAAAATTGCTAAAAAAGAATTATTATAAATTTAATTAATCATTTCAGGATAGAATGTATCGCAGAAGAATTAATGGTTATAAAAATTAAGATGACCTGGTTAATAAGACGTTCAACTAGAAACAGTTGCTTTATTGTGTATCGTAAACCTGAAAAAAACAAAAAACATGTTTTCTCATCAAATACCTTTCGTTCGATACGATATCAAGAAAAAAGATGAAATTTTTTTTAAATTCAATTTGGTCGGCTTCCATCTTTGAAAAACCAGAATATTACATTTTTACATAATATTGAAACGAAGGAATATGGAATAAATCATCCATTATAATTCGATATAATGAATATTACATATTCACTTACCAGAATTGCAAATAATTTTTTTACAAGTAAACGCCATATTATATTCAAAATTTACTTAGCACTTAACCTTTATTTTCAATCACGAAATCTTCGAACCACGAACACGATGAGGGCGACACTCGCGGACAAACTATCGGACGAATTGCGTAACAAGTTTTTCGTTAATTAAGTTATGTATACAAATATAAACAAAATATTTTATACTTTAATTATTCCTTTTTTTTCTTCGTATATGAGAGATAAGAAATTTAAAAACAATTCTCCACCGGTCTGAGAATCATTTAACTGCGCAAAATCCTACATCGTTCCTATTCCTTATTTTTTGATTGGTCGAATACATCCTGTATTCGTTCCAAAGATATCAGATTTGTATCTACATACATTTATATATCTTTTTTTTTTTCGAATACTTTTTACATCATAAGAAATCGAAAATTTTTAATCGATTGTACTAAAATTTAGAAATGAAATGAACGATAAATCGATAATTTTTTTACGATATATGCATGTTCGAGATATGATCGAGGATCGATTTTTCAAAGAAAAGAGAAAGAAAGATGCGTGCGTGTATACGATGCGAGGTAAAATTAATAAGTGAATCTAATTAGTTCGAAGAGAATAACGAGTCATGAAAATAAGATGAGAGAAGATACAGAAGGTAAGAGAATCTCGCGAAGACTATTATTAGCATCATTATAATATAATTTCGAGATACTCGGTTAGATAAGAATTGGGATACACTTGGAATAAAAGAGATTAAATTAGATATTTAAATAGATTCCGGATATCCTTATTCGCACATTCCGAAGGTAATCGCAAGTGAAACGAGTGGTCGACGAACATTGAGTTATGGAAAACGAGGGGCAGTGACTCGACAATACATCGAGTTAAAGCACGTCACATTTTGCGGGAATCGCATCAAATCGTAAATAACTTTGCACGGTAAAATATATTTTGAAATATCCAATGTTATTATCATTCTTCTTCGATGAAATGCAAAGTTGAGCTTAATTTTTCAACGATTAATAATATTGCAATATCAAAAGAAAATAATAAATTTCAAAACAAAATTATCGTTTTCTCTCTTTTTCGATACACATATTCCATTTTCAGGTATTCTCATAACGATCTTTTACCTCGCGTCCAAAGTGCGTTCTATAACGTTCTCGCGGTTGGCTCTTCTTTTGTTCGAGTCTCGGTCGAATATCCATTTACATTCCAGCCCAGTCCATCGCGACGCTTCCTGTTTCTCGAGCGGTTCTCCGCGTGCCGCTTGCCGTTTCATCCTTCCTTTATCGAACACAGAGCACATGGATCGAAAGAACGTCACTCGCACGCGTCTCGATCGCACGAGAGTCGAAAGTGTAAGGGGTAAGTTATGAAATGACGTCGCTTCGACGGAACGGTCGCTTAACGATACCGTTTGTTCGCGCGATGAGGCTCACTTGCACCGATAGATGTACCGGTGCGACGTCGGGACGTCGAGAAAGGGAGGCGCGCGCGCGATCGTATGACAAACAAAGAGGGAAGGGGATGTAACACGTTGAAGCGTGCGACGTTCGTTCGTTTCATTCTAGAATACCAATGAATTTTGAACGACACGTGACCCGAATTCTATTCTTTCGCCACCTCTTTCTTTTCCTTTTTTTCACTTTTCCATTTACGTCTCGCGGCTCGTCGAATCAATCCAACGTAATAAACTGACATTATCGTCCGCGAAACGGTAAGATCGCGGAAGGAAGAGTAATAAAGAGGGATCAAGACTAGGAGACCGAGACCGAGACCGAGAACGTGGTAAAGAAGTGGGAGACCGAGGGAACACGGTTGTGTCCGCTTTTCCATCCGTTCGTGCACGGGGGCCAAAAGCGGCGGAGGGCCGCTCAGTTTGCCTTCAGCCATACCAAAGAGCGCGGTCGGATCTCATAGTCGCGTTCGTGTATCCGTGCAAGATAGTCGATAATCTCACGATTGTTTTTCACAGAAGGGGAAAAAGGAACAGATACTAGATTCGAAACGACAAAGAGACAAGGATGGAAGGCAACGTTGTCGGTGGGATGATCGTTCTTCTGTTGATCGCGATCGGTCTTTCGGTGAGTTTCGCATTTTGCCCTCCTATATTCTTCTCGAACTTTATATCGCGCTCTATACCACCACCGTTCGTAAATCGCTCGTAAAAGGAGAGATGATCTCTAGGATAATTGTCGAAAAGATTTCGTAGGAAAGGAAAGTATAAGAATCGCGATCAACAGTTGACTAACGGTGCAAGTTATACTGCTACTACGAATGTCGCGCGGTATCTCGCTCATCTCGTTCGTCATCGCGTTTCCATTTTTCCCCCCAAACCGCTATTCTTTCTCCTTCCTCCGCTCGTCCCCATCCGGTCTATTCCTTCCGCGTTTCCACCTTTATCGTGACCTGCTGTTGCTGCTGCCATCGCGTTTCTCGAGCGCTCATTGTTCGAGGTTGATGATAGTTGAAAAAAACGATCGAGGTGACGAGGCAGGAAACAGTGGTAGAATGAGAGAGCAAGCGAACGAGCGAGCGAGAGAGAAAGAGAGAATAAGAAAGTAGGAAAACGTGGGTAAAACGAGCTAGTTCTCTCATTGTACGAGAAAAACGAAACCATACGAAGATTCTCATATTCTATTTCAGGAGATTCCGGTCTTGGCAACTAGCGTTCCAAGTTATAAGCTGAACGATCGATGCGCCAAAGACGCAGAGTGCGAATCGAGCATCGAGGGTAGTCAATGTCACTTTGGTCGTTGTCGCTGTTTGCCCTACTTTGCCGCGTACAATGGAACTCATTGTCTCGAGGGTGAGAATTAATCGTCGCTTTATCGGTGATTTTTTTTAATCGCGAGACAACGAGAAATAACGAACATTCGTTTCGTCTCTCTCTTGACGATTCCACAGCGACTCTTCTCGGCGAAGAGTGTCTGGTCGACGAACAATGCACGTTGAAGGTGGCCAACAGCGATTGCTCGGACGGATTGTGCGGTTGCAAGCAGGGTTTCCTTCAATTTCGTCGGCACACGTGTCTCGGTCGTAAGTTTACTTCGATAATTTCGATAATATATCCCCTATTATTGATCGATCGATCGAAGGTAGATCTCGAGGAAAATAAAAAATAATGTTTCAGCGGCGAAACTCGGCCAAGTTTGTTACGAGCATGCCCACTGTCGATTATGGGAGGTGAATTCGCACTGCGATTTCCTGATCCCAAACTTGTTCGGTCGTTGCCAGTGCACCGCGCCTACCCGTCGCGAGGCCGACGTTTGTCGCCCGGACGATCTCGTCAGACCTCCGCCTCTGTTCGACGATTCCTTACCGACCATTACCGATCGAGTAATCCCATCGACCACGGAAGAAGAAGAGAAGGAGGAGGAGGAAACGGGTAAACGAACCGTTGATACATAAAACAACCAGAATACCAAAACTACTTTTTTCCTTTTTCTCCTTCTTCTTTCTCAAGGAGTTGAAATCGCCTGGCTGAAGAGGAACGAAACTCAATCGACCACCTTCTTACCGACGGATTCGATCGATTCGAACGGAGACGACGCGATCGTCGTCGAGGCTGCCAACGAGACCGAGGTTATCAACGGTGCGTAGATGTTGTCAGGTAAAAAAGAGAGAAACGGAAAATAGAGGATTCGGTCGACGAAAATTATTTTTAGCGTCGTCGCCGTTCAAGACGGATCGAGAAGTGGACGCGGCAAGCACCGTGCCATCGCCACCGTTCTCACCGGTCACTTTGGGCCACGAATGCGTCTCCGATTTCGAGTGTCGATCGGCCGATCCCCATTCCAGATGCATCGACCGGGTATGCGAGTGTGAATATCGAGGGAACGGGAGTAGCTGCGCAGCGAGGAAGACGGGATGCGCGGCTGGCACGTTCCAATGCAAAAGCTCGGGGATCTGTATCAGCTGGTTCTTCGTCTGTGACGGGAGATCGGATTGCGAGGACGGCTCGGACGAGCGTTGCTCGATCTCGGGGAAAGGATCGAGGTGTCCCGAGCAAGCGTTTAGATGCGCGCAGAGCGACGTTTGCGTGTCGAGAGCGGTGATGTGCGACGGGAAGAGGGACTGCCCGCGAGGAGAGGACGAAGTCGGGTGCAACGATCGACGAAGTAAGTCGTTTCGTCTTATCCATCCTCGTTCGAAGTTAGACTCGCGAGAATCTGTTGCAGAGTGTCCGGTGGGAGCGTTCAGATGCAACAACGGGCAATGCCTGCCGGCGTACGAGTTTTGTAACGCCGTGGTGTCTTGCCGGGATGGTAGCGACGAGCCGAGGGACGCGTGTCGGAGGCAAGGGAGGGGAGGAAGAAACGCGATGGCGGCGTCTCGATGCCCGTTCAGATGCGACAACGGCAGGTGTCGTTCCGACGCGATCGCCTGCAGCGGTCGCGACGGTTGCGGCGACGGTTCCGACGAGAGACGCTGTTCCGTTTGCAGTCAGTATAAAGGGAAAAATACTTATCTGTTTGTCTCTATCCGTTCTGCGATTCGGTCCACTCATCATCCGTCGTTACGTTGTTTCAGGATGTTCGCCTTTCCCTTAAATCGAAGCGGAAACAATTTCCGGATTCAACGATAAGAGAGACACGTTTCCGACGAAGGAAGGATATATATATATACATGTATACGACGGAATTGCGATTGGAAATAAAGGAATTGAGAGAGAGAGAGAGAGAGAGAAAAAGAGAGAGAAAAAGGAAAAAGTGGTGGAAATATCGATCGAATTTTCTTCATATTGATCGAATCCTCGAATCTTGCCGTTCCTCTGTTCCGTTCCGTTGTTCGTGTCCTTCGTTCCGCCGCGAACGCGGAAGTTCGATTTGGCCACGTTTCGATTCGAAATTGGACGAGGATGCGCGCATCTGCGCGAAACGGGGCAACGCGTCGGTGGGATGGGCACGCGTCGATAGTGTGTCTCGCCTCGAGCCTCGCTTTCCGAATCACGGCCACGAACGACGACGAACCATCACGGTTTTTTCTTTCGTTCCCCGTTTCGTTCGTCGATCCATCCCCTTAAAACGTTCCACCATCGCTTCACCAACTTCCTTTCCACGATTCTCGCGCGATTACCGCGCGATATCGAGCGACCAAACCCCTCTACCGAAAACCTAACCTCGCATTCATCCGCTGTCCCGTCCCGTCCCGTCCCGTCTCGTTTCGTTTCGCCTTTTCATCGCTGTTGGCGTTGGCGTACGTTTCATTTCCAAATCGGACGCGGGCGAAACACGATCGTTCGGCGGTCGTCCGAATGATAAAAGGCGAATAACGGCCGATTTGACGCCTCGTTGTTCATTCGTCGGGGATCGGATACAAAGGAATCACGGCGCTCGATGATCGTGCGATCGGTCGTGGCGGTCGCGTCGAGGCGACGGTACACGGTGCACGGAAAAGTATGGTCACGGCGTGTACGGTCTCGAACGATTTTAGCCGATCGAAGAACGTGGAAGAGAACAACACGCGAAAAACGAAAAAGAAAGGACGAAACTTGTCCTCGTTCCTCGATTGCCTTCGCCGACGACCTGGCTTCGTCCTTTTGTTGTTGCCCGCCGCTCTTCTGGCCAGCTTCTACGCGGTCTCTTCCGAGGAGGATTACGATTTCGACCCACGATACCTCTACAATAACAACGACGACGACGACGACGACAACGAAGCGAGGCTCGACGCCCAGGGTAAGAAATACAAATGCCAACCTATTCGAAGAAAAGGTAAGAAACTATTTTCCTTTTTCCTTTCTTCCCTCCATCAGCGACGTTGGACGGGTATCTAGTGTGGAATCCGAGATGTCAGATGCCGTCCAAGGAACCTTTCGATCCATCGATCCTTCCTTACGTGAAGAGGGAAAAGTTCGAAAAGTGTTCGTCCACGCCACCGTTGACTAGGATCATCCGTCGGGAGAATGGCACCATCGTCCTCTCTTTGGATCCTGCAGCCGTGAACTCCTCCCGTCTCAAGTGTTGCTGGTCGGCCGTGTTCAGAGGCGAGAAACAACCGAAGAAACCCAGCAAGAACAATAACGTCGATACCTCAATCGTGTGAGTGTCTTCTTCTTCGCGAGCGTGGAAAGAACGCGAAGCAGGTAACGCGATCTAATCGCAATGACGTTGGAATGTGAATCTCCTTTATTTTTTTTTTTTTTTTTTTTCCCCCCTTTTTTCCTTTTTTCAGGGTGAAACAATGCGAGAATTTCGAGGGGGAGACGAGATTGGGGGAGGACGGGGCGGAAGCCGCGATGGTGAGTTGCAGCCTGGTCGAGTCGAGATCGACAAACGGAACGGGAAAGAAGAGATCGAGACCGATCTACGAAAACGTTCACGCGATCCTCGACGCGGGTAAAGTGGCTGATCGATCGTCGAGGAATGCTACGCAACTACTTTCCACCTCCAAGAAATTGAGCGTTCTCATGTTGGGGATCGACAGCGTGAGCCGTTTGAACTTTATACGAAGCGCGCCCACCACCGAGAGATATCTCCTCGAGACCGGATGGATTCGATTCGACGGTTACAACAAGATGGGCGATAACACGTTCCCAAATCTGATGGCGATCCTCACAGGGCAGAATCAGGAACAGGCGTACACGATCTGCAAGCCTACCGTCCCTACCATGCTCGATCGTTGCCCCTTCCTCTGGCAAAATTTCCGGGACGCGGGATACGCGACCGGTTACGGGGAGGACGAGACGTCCCTCAACACGTTCAATTATCTCAAGATGGGATTCTTTCGGCCACCGACCGATTACTACCTTCGACCCTACATGCTCGCTTGCGAGAAATTGCTCAAAGTGAAGAAGAGGTAAGAAACTTCCTTTCCTTTTTCTTTTTACGCCTTCTACACTCTTCTTCTACACTCGATCATGATACACCTCTTCTCTTTCCCGCAGATTCGGATTGAAGTATTGCACCGGGCCCGAGACGAGCTTCGACAGAATCTTGGATTACGCGATCGAATTCGCTGGCTCGTTTCCCCTCGATCTACCGTATTTCGGCCTCTTTTGGACGATCAGCGTGAGCCACGACAACGCGAACGGATTCTCGTCGATGGACGATCGACTGCTCGACAAGTTGAAACGAATGGAGAGGAAGGGGGTGTTGAACGAGGCGATGATAGTGTTGTTGAGCGATCACGGGATGCGATGGGGACCGATCAGAGACACGTTCGTCGGCTGGTACGAGGAGAGACTACCGTTCCTCTACGTTTGGCTGCCGAAATGGTTCCGGGACGAGAGGCCGGGGGCGTATCGATCGCTACGCGCCAACCGGAATCGTCTCACCTCCCCCTTCGACCTCTACGAGACGTTGAGGGAGGTGTTGAGTTTGTCGGGTGGGAGGGCGAATCCGGCCCCCGGTTGCCCAAAGTGTCGAAGTCTCCTTTCAGGTCCCGTACCCCGATCAAGAGGTTGTTCCGACGCTGGCATCTCCTCCCATTGGTGCGCGTGTACCACGTTCGAACCGGCCGATCCCCGCGATCCCCTCGTCCGTAGGGGATTGCGAACGTTTCTCGAGCACGTGGACAACGTGTTGGACCGGTATCGGGACAAGAGGGGCAGACGAGTGTGCGCGAGACTCGGTTTAAAGAAATTGCATCGGGTGGATCGGGTGATCGATTTTGAACGAAATCGTGATAGCAACGGTAGCCGCGTCTATTTCTACTTGATACAGGTGAGCCCGGGCGACGGAAAGTTCGAGTTCACCGTCCGATATCACGGCGAGAACGGTACGTACACCGTGTCCGATCACGACGTGAGCAGACTCAACTCTTACGCCTCGGCCGCCGAATGCCTGGATCGTGGGATAAAACAATATTGCCATTGTCTCAAGATGAAACGATGAAGGAAAAATCAAGCGTGGTATACGTAAAACATCTATCTTCCTATGGTGTGTAATTTGAACAAAATTAATGGATATATATATATATATACTATATACATAACATATTATTTTTTTACTACGCATCTGTTCAAACGATCAAAGTTAATTCACAAGTTAAACGATGATTCGTGTCGGCAGACGTACGAAAAAATAAATAATAAATTTTCGCAAAAAACGTTATATTCGTTTCTTTCTTCTCTCTCTCTCTCTCTCTCCTTCTCTCTCCGTCTTTCCGTCTCGATTCGCATCGATTTCGCGAAACGAAGAGAGACGCGATCGATCCATCAATTGAACGCGGCAGCGTCCAAGCTTAAGCGAGAAACGCGACCGATCTCGCGAATCGTATTGGCCTGCTCGTTGCCAATACCTTGCGTACGCCTTCGTCGATGAATCGGCCCGTGTTCCGGGGTCCCGAACAACATCACCGTCACCGATTTCTTCCGTCGGGGATGCGACATCGTTAAACCCCTCCTCGCCAAAAATCCATCCAGAATCCTGATCCCCTCGTACAAACTCTCGAGATCGCAGCTCGAGTATCGTCGACAGTTTCCTCCTCCTCCTCCTCCTCCTCCTCGCTCGAGCCACGAGTCGATCGAGGTCGGTTCCGAAGCGTGCAAGTGTCTCCGTATCGCCGTTTCCAATTCGCCGTTGCTCAATTTCTCGTAACTGCCCACCATCGATCCCACGGTCGCCGACGTTCTTCCCAGGTAACGATCGCGCGCGCATACCGACAATTTCCTCATCGATCTTCGAAACGTACCGCACGGGGTCGAGGAAGTAGACGCGATGTTCGATCCACCGCTGTTACCACCTAGATTCTGCCTCTTCAACAATTTCACGATCGTGCTTCTCGCTCGATCCAACCCTCCTCTCTCTTCCTCCTCCTCTTCTTCCTCTTCCTCCTCCTCCTCTTCCTCCTCCTTCTCCCCTTCCCCCTTCCTCGTTCCTATCTCGCTTCCTTCGAAATCCGCTGGGATCACGGTGGCGCAACCGCATGCACCCTCGCAAGAACATCCTGTCTCCGATCTAATGCCGTCCGTCGTCGAGGTTTCATCTTGCGATGGCCGTTCTTCCGGATTCGCGCTTTCCTCCACCTCCTTCTCCTTGTCCTCTTCCTTCTCCTTCGCAGTAGAGGAGGAAGCGGGTTTCGCTTCGATAGGAAGAACGCGCAAACTTCTCCGCTGGGAATCGAGGCAGGATCCTATCGAATGTGGACCGATCGACGTAGATCGGATCGAATTCCAACTGTGACGAATCCGCGGATACGCGCCGAGAAGTTGGACGTCAGGGTACGAACCTCGATTCAGATTCCCATCCTCTGGAACGGAGGACGAGATTCGATCGTTCGATCGACGAAACCAGTTCCTCCGTTCCATTCTCTCTTCTTCCCCTCCTTCCTCCTTTCTGTCGTTGTTGTCGTTTTCATCCTCATCGTCTTCGTCGTCTCGCACGCCTGAACGCGAAATGAAGAAGTTTGAAAAAAAATAGCGCCACCGGCCTATGCACTGTTCACCGATGGAAAGAAGTCTCGCGGAAGGAATGCGAGTCTAATTTAGAATTCAAATTTTCACACGCATTTTTGTTTCTATCGTGTCATATTCGTCATATTATATACCAAAACGATGATTCATAGCTAAATTATTTCAAGCTTTTATGCTTGAAATAAGCATAGAATCCAAAGAATTCTAACGTATCGATATATTATAAAAATTTTTTTTATTCTTATCAATATGCGTAGATTACGATTTGATTTGAAACGATATTTTAATTTATAAATGTAATTTCATATTCGAATAGAATCAAGATAATAATTGATATGATAATGTATACGAATATTTCAACTTCTCATCTTAGACCAATTATTCTAACGTGACTTCATAAATGAAAAATAATTTTTATGATTTTCAATGTTTCAAAGTAATATTTATAAATTTTAATAGCTTTTTTACTGCTATGTAGCTGGTGTCAGGTTTGTCAACAAAACGTTTGAAATTAAGATAAGCTGCCTAGCGAAGGACCCCTCTTGCCTCTCCGCCGTCCCGCGAGACTTCCTATTGTACATATCTTCACCAACCGCCAACTTCGTTGAAGTTTTAAATTCGACCTATTTCAACATTTTCTCTAACAAATTTTATTCCTTTCTTTTATTTCTCTTTTATTTTTATATAAATTCTCTCAAAATTATATAAACATCTTCGAACGTCATTTCCATCTATTCCCCGATTCGAAAACTTAAATTTGTAACATTTGTAAACAATTCGATCTATTTCGAATCAATTTTTTTCAACATTCCGAATCATTTTTTTTTTTAAATATTTTTTTTTGATAAGAATTTTAATGTCCAAAAAAATCCAAATTAAAGAAATACTTAAAATCGAATCGAAATAAAAAATATAAGAAAAATTTTAAATTTGATCATAATTAAATAATTTGTTTGTATAAATGAAACTATACTATTATCATATTAAAATGAATAAAACATAATAAAAAATACTAATAATTCTAATATATATATAAAATATATATATATATATTGTTAATATCTTATAAATTAATAACGAAAAAAAATAAATTACTATAAAAAATATTATTGATAAAATAAAAATTTAAAACGAAAACAACGCTATAATAACGATTGATAAAATAATAAAACGAAATAAAAATTAATATTTTATATAAAACCAACTACTCACTGGCGTTCGAATCAGCTGCCAATAATCCGGATACACTAAAATGTCGCGATATAGATCCCGGGGGAGTGACGTAGGGAGGTGGTGGACTCTCCGGCAATCGAATAGCGTGGTTCTTCGAAGGTATTTCAGGATCTTGATTACCGCTCGATGTACCCGCCTCGATGATGGAGCAAACGGAGGATCGACCTCCCCCCACTTCCAACCTTGGAAGATGGAAACAACGTTCAACGTACTGTTCACTGCTGGCAACAGTGATGGGGAAAATTTTATAAGTTAAAGTTACGAATAAAGTTACTTCGATAAATTATTGTTCAATAATCGAAAATAATTATAATGGAAAACGGCCGTGAAAACGAATATGAAAAGCGGATCAATTGTAATAGCTACGAATAAATGTTATTCGAGCATTTTAATAAATAATTACTCAAAGTAACTTTATTCGAAATATTTAACTTAAGTTACTAGGATTTAATGTCTAACTCTGATTGGTGGAAAAAAGTCTCGCGGTAAGAATGTGATGATCTGATTGGTTAATTTGGAAGAAATTATCGGCTCGATGCGTTAGACAGAATCCAGAGAATTCTAACGTATCGATACGATATAAAATTTTTATATTACTTATAATTTCTTTATTATTTATAATATGCATTAAGCTAATTACGATTTATAACGATAGGATATAGTGTATAGCGTATATTATATAGGATATAGTGTCAGGATTATCAACAGAACATTTGAAGTGGGGATAAGCGAACCTCCCTGTTGCTTCTATAATGTCCCACTGGAGACTTTTTTCCAGCAGTGAATAATACGAACGGAAGCGAAAAATATAATATATATGCGAGTCGGAACTTACGAAGAACCTTGAAGACTTGAGGGAGAGTTTCTACCTCGAAACATTCTCCGCTTCTTTCGGCCAATCATCTCCGAGTCGAATCCGAGCTTCACCACCTCGTCGTAGCCCGGTGGCGCCTCGTACACCGGTGGATCGTCAGTTACAGAGATTTCGTCGATCCGCGCGCCGTCTGCAATGTCGAAAACTGTCGAAAGTGATAGGTGAGAAAGGACCGCGCGTAATCGGCTACATCGCGCTTCCTATCGCGTCTTCCTACCTAGAAGCTCGCTGATCGTTTGCAATCTCGACTGAAGTTCCCTCTGTTGCCTGGCTCTTGCTCCCATTCTGTACAGCAGGATGATCAACGCTGATATCAGGATGATCAGTCCGAGGCTACTCGCGACGAACACCAACGTGGCCGTCTTCAGATCCGGGTATCGATCGATCTTGGGAAAGTAATAGTTGGCCTTGTTCGCGTGCCACTTTCGATCCTCAGCTTGATCTTCCATCTCCCAATCTTTTTTTGTTTTTGTTTTTGTTTTGTTTTTGCCGAACAAAGCGTCGATTCGAGGCGCGAATTGCTTTAACGGAGGAAAATACTTTACCTCGAAAACATGTGGCTGGCTCGTCGCTGTTGTCCCCGCAATGGTCGAACCCGTCACAATTCAGTTGACTCGGTATGCACCTGTGGTTACGGCAAAGAAAATCCGAACCCGCGAAACAATCTGGGAAAAATGGAAAACGGCGAATTTCGAAAATATCCTGTTCCGAAAGTTCAAGTTTTTCTCGCTCACCCATGTAGCTGAAAGCCGCGTACGCGATGGCAAGATGCGAGGATGGGCCGAACGTTCCTCGCAAGCTAACGTGAAACCCGCTCGCCACTGGTGCCACGTGTTCCCTGTACCTAGGCGGTTGAACTTGAGTGGCCGGATGTCTCAAAATTTCGAGCGGCAAGAGGGCCGAGGTTGGCCCTTGCTTCACTATCAGTTCCGTATTCCCGGCTGAAATCGTCACTGTGATAACATCGACGAGAAGGGAAAGATGAGGAAAAGGAAACCCGCTCACCCATATCCGCGAAAGTGACCACCTTCAGATACATATGCGTTTTCAAGTGTAGAAAATTTTTGGGTGGTCTGATCAACCAAACGCAATCGTACGTCTTCACGCCTTCGCCGACCATGTCCATCATGGTGATGGCACCACCAAGATTTTCCACGTATCCCCCGCAATCGGTTATCGGTTTCACCGATTTGTCCAACGAATGCCCGATCACGAAGGAGTAGAACGCCTTGTAACCCAACCCGGTCCCACCGTTCGCGTAGAATCGTATCAGCAACGAAGGTCCCGAGCTCATTATTACCGGTGGACGAAATCTCGCTCCGCTACTCACGTCCAGACGTTGACCGTTCCAATCGTAGAACTGTACGACCGATACGTAGATATGCATGACACATGCATCATAAGCGTATCCATCATCATCGTTTTCCACGTACCTCCATTATCGATACGGTGGCCAATTGGAAATCGCTGAACAATAATCTGATGCGGCAAGACGATGCCTCGTTAGGGCACGTGACCACGTATTCCAAGCCTAGATCACGAGGATACCGCGCTGGGAAGAACGGCGACGTTAAAATTCCACCACCGGTGTTGTTCAAACCTTTTGCCGCTTGACCGTTCAATTCCGTACCCTTCAAGTGCAATCTGTTTCCTACGTGAACGCGTAACGATCAAATCACGTTGATCAATCGTTTTTCCTTTTTTTTTTTTTTTTAATTGTCACTTACTCTCTGCCGTATACTCGAGGGTGAACGCGTGCATATGCGACTGGCTGTAGAATAACGTGATCGACAAAGTTCTCGTGCTGGATCTATAAGTGATGGGTGCGTACAATCCACAAAATGGTGTGCCGGACACATCCTCGTACGGTGGTTCCGAGATCCATACGTAATCGCATCTATAGAAAATGAAAAGACGGGAAAAAACGTGTGTGTAAGGCAAAGCTGTATAGGGGTTACCTGCACGGGCTGTCCATCGTAATTGTACCGTCGCCGCAATGATGGGACAACGCAATGGTCTGGAAGGTGGCGATTATCACGCAGGAGGGACATGTGACCAACTCGAGACTACACTGAGCGTGGGAACTGTTACTCGTGTATACGAGCGAACCCTCGCCTTTCCTCGCCTCGTTTCTCACCATCGAGACATTCTTCGCGTACAAAATACCCTTTTCGCCCAACTCCAGATACAATCGCCGACCGTTTTGAACTCCGCAGATATCCTCGTTCCGAACAACGTTTCCCTCGATCATCGCGGCGATCGACAACCACAGTAACATCCCTGTAATCGTTTTCAACGCCAATAACGCGATTTCGATGACTCTCCTATCGCTTATTGCATCTTTCGCTCGTTTCTATTCCGCACACACGCATCATCGCTTACTCTCCTTCTCCCCTTCTCCCCCCCCTCCCCCTCCCTCCTCCCAACATTCTTCCAATTTTTTTAATCAGCCACGCACCAATACCAATTTTCGCTCGTGTCACTCTCGGTCGAAATCTTACCGAGTCTAAACCGATGATGCATCTTCTTTCGATGAAGGAAAAAACGTTCTGCCTTTCGAGAAACTACCATCGCGATTTACCATCTACGTAATTTCATTAGTTCCCAACGCTGTTACGTACCTTCTTATTACCGTATCAAGCATTTTTATGGTATCTTTTCCACACTCCCGCTCCCTCCTTATCTTCTCTCTCTCACTCTCTCTGTCGTTTTAGAAATGGACAAACGCCTCTTCATCTATACACCTTTCAGATTTCCATCTTCTTATTTTGCGATTCTCGAATAAATAAATATCTCCTTTTTTTCTCTCTTTTCTTATTTCTTATTTCTCCAAGAAAATAATCATCCTTTCCGGATGATTACTTACGGAGGAATCGTGAAAAATAAATCACGATTTATGAGACTGGAAATTTTTACGTAATGCGTTTCCGTATTACAATTTTTTACATAGAAAAAAAAATGAATGTAATACGATCGACTCGCTCGATAAATTTTACCCATTGCTCATCTCAAATTTGCGATCTCACGTAATATCGATTGAGCGAGAAATCAGGATATTTCCTATTACCCTTTACAATCTAGAACGAATGAAGGAACAATATTGAAATTCAATTGGAAAAATTGTTAAAATTGACGACTTGTTGAAAATAATTCTTTTGTTTTATAATATGCTTTCGTAAATTCTTTTCTTTCGACATTATTTCGATATGCGTATAAGATATGTGTAATGTTAAAAAAATATATATATATGCTATTCCTAATATAATGGCTTACGATACATAAAAATTGAATTGAATAGACTCCGTTCGAATTTTTTAATTCATCAGGCTATTTTCAATAGGGTAAAAAGACGATTACTATCGGATATCGGAATTGTCTCTCTCTCTCTCGAGCGAAAAAAATTTGCTCAACGACTATAGACGAAGAAGGGAAATGATAAGACAAGAACAGAGATAGAGTAAAAATATTGAGATCAGCGCCATCTTCAGAGTGCCGTAAATGAAACACGCAAAAAACGGGAAAGATTGGTGGGAGAAGGATAGAGATAAGACAGGAATCGACATTTGACGCCATCTCTGGATTGGATTTTTAGGAAAGAAATTGTTCTCAAAAGAGATGGCGCTGACGATCAATTCTTATCGTACTTTTCTCTCACTATTCGCCCCTTCTTGTACATAGTTGATACTTGTTCAAATTAATCTTCGTGAAATAAAATATTTATTCTCTATTCCTTGTAATTGTAATTTTTTATTGTTGAAATTTTAAATTTCAATCGTTATTGATATCGCGATTTATTCCATACCGTGAATCGATAACAATATAATATCGAATAACTAATGGTAATCGATGCTTTCGAATTTTGTTTGTGAAAAAATACGTCAGATGCCTCTGGAGAGAACATGGAGAGAAATGGAGAGACAATTTATCTTGTCTCTCATTGTCAAAACAAAATATGAAGAAGGACTTGGAATTGCTGGCCGTATCGCGTGATTATTCGGATAATACATTAAGCATGGATCTTACTATAGATTTAGAAAGGCAAAGATTTCCATTTTGTATAGTTTGGACACCTTTACCGATTCTTACGTGAGTAAAGTGAAAAAAATAAATGCATCGAATTGGTGTATCGCATTAACCTAACTTGATATAGCATCGAAATTAGCTAATCTAATCTATATACTCTTCGAATCGAATATTTACGAATATATCGGTTTTTTATAGCTTGACGATTTTTATTCCTTGATATCGCAATCTCGAAATCGTATATATTTTCATCTCGTATTCTTAAGGTATTTTTTACCGATTATCGGTCATATGGGTATTGCCACTTCTACTGGTGTGATTCGAGATTTTGCCGGTCCATATCACGTTGCCGAAGACAGTATGACATTTGGAAAACCTACCAAGTATTGGCAATTGGATTATACCAAAGCCAAAGGAGGTGTGCAGGGATGGGATTCTGCCGTTGCAGAAGCTAGTGAAATCTATAAAGGTAGAAAGGTAAGCTTGTCAAGTATGTTGTTTCTAGCTGGAAAGTATTTTCCTAATCCTAATCTTTCCCCATTGTTATATCTATTATTCTTTCTTCGCAGCACTATTTATGTTACGATAATTGTCATTCACACGTAGCAACAGCATTAAACTTAATGGCATACAATAATTTTACTAATTGGAATATGGTAAATCTAGCATTCCTTATACTTATACGTGGAAAATATGTCAAGTAAGAAAGATATTTTTAAATTGTATTTTTATCAATGTTAACACGACAAATGTAAACACGGTTAATCGTTACACGGTATGCGTGTATTTTTCAGCTTTTCAGGTTTCCTTAAAACGTGGATGCCATTCGTATTTCTCGTCATTATCATCACTTCATTATGTTTGTTATTACGATAAGATCTTCTACGAATACTTAGACAACGCACATCTTCTTTCTTGCTCGAATCAATATACTTGATACTTATATTAGCCGAAACATCGTTATTGCCGATTCGAATGGATTGTATCTCGATGAAAAGATCGATCATCTAATAATGCTTATTGTTTTATTAAAAGATATATACATACATCGATATTTAAAAATTACACGTGTGTTACAAATATATAATTTCATTATCTATAGTATAGAGTATAATTAAACTTATCGAATAAGCGATTTATCTTACATCGGAAACGCATCGAATCGTGGACGTGTTATCTTTGAACAATAAATTTGTGCTCGCACATCATTGAGTGTTATTAAGACATTGCAGTTTATATTATTATCTCGCTTCTTTTCATTTTCATCATTTCTTTTTTTCTCTCGTCAAACGTAAAATAATGAAAATCGGCAAAAATATAAGAGTGGATTTTTCATATAAACCGACATGGCCGATATATATATATGTGAGCATGAAGAAAACGAAAGTGTTCACGCCAGTGTATTTTTAACGATACACTTACGCAAGAATTATGTTGCACGTGTTGGCCAAAACACCCAAGAATTTTGATTCGACGCGAACGTTACGTGATCTCTGAAGACATCCGATATGCCGAGATTAATACGAGAATAACGAAAATCATTCGTTATTTCTACTATTCATTTCTGCTACGATGCTTTCCTCCAAAGCGAAATTATAATCATAGTTCTGATTCCTTATTGTCTCTATGAAAGATAAAATTTCACTAATTCTAAGTTGGTCTATTTCGAAATCATTGCTCGCGTTAATCTCCAGGTATTTGCACAATTTGAATGGAACTCCGTTCAAATAATGCGTACTCTCCCCTTGATTAAAATCTTTCGGCGAATCGGTTGGTACAACTTGCCCGAATTCTGGAACGGGAGGTATGTACGAAGGATACAAATTACCGCTAGGATACGTAGACGTGGTGTCGTGACTTCTATTCCCTTGTATTGACGAGGTCCAATTCGGGACGAATTCATAATCGTCGTTTTGATTCGATGCTTGTTCCTCTTCCGTCGAATCAGACGGCGAATCCTTGTGTTGTTTTTTTCGCCCGAATAACCAAGACATTTTTTTTCTAACAAATGCGACGCGAAATATCACAATGTAATTCGATTCAGATTATCTGTGTGAAAAAACTTGTCGACATAATCAATTAATTAAATATTCGGCGATGGACAATGTAATGAATTCATAGTGTGACAATATGAATTTAAACGAGAAAAAAAATAAAAAATTACTCACATATACAATTTGAAAAATGAAACAAAACGTCTATAAGCGAAAGCTCCGATTTAAAAGTTGACTGTGGTCGATTAATGATCCACTCGTGATATTATTATTTATCAGTAACCATTTTAAAAGAAGATTGTACAATCCTTGTACTTGAAAAGATCCAAAGCTTTCTCTTGAATAATAATCTTTATCGATGCCAACGAAATGCGATGATTTAACTGACGTATACTTTTTGGTTATACGTTAGTTAGCTAAAACATATTGTTTTCAACATCGTCCGTTAGATGTTAGCACCGCGGTAATCGAATACGGCGCAAGCGTTCCAGTGAAATGCTATAAGACGAAGAGTAAGAAAGAGAAGAGTAGAAGGAGAGAAAAGGAAGGAACACCTGCAACGTCATCGTGTAATCCTTGTCGTTCGAGGTCGTCTAAGTAAGATACAGCAGTCGCAGTGGTAGTTGGCAAGCCTGCAACGGTCCGCTAAATTGTAGGTTAGAGGTAGCTTGTACAATTAACTCGCGTAGCTATACGAAATCGTGAAATCGTGGATAACGATGAAAAGTTGAGGGGTATTAATCGTGGAAACTTTTATCGATAGTTTGCTCGCGACGAATGGTGTTGCTGTGGATACACAGGTTCGATGTAAAAGCTAGGCATCGTTCCGCAGAATCCAATTTACGCGTTCCTCGTGTGTTGTCTCGAAACGCATGCGTGCTACCAAGGTAACGAAGTGCATCTGGCAATAATCGGGCGAGCCGTTATAGTTGAACAAACCACGTCGAGGTAGCAGGGCGATCGCATTGTTTTTATGTTTCTCGTATGTGTACATGCCATGCATATACGCTCTGTGTAAGGCGTATCGCGAGTGTCTCGCGAGCGATCAACTGTCTTCTACGCGTTCGTTGTTTTCCGAGTGTTTGTGGTAAAAGAGAAATTACACCGAATACCATTGCAAGACGTCGGTTACGTTCGCGCTACGCAAAGGTGTGGCAGCGTTACCAGTAAGTCTCTTGGTGTTGGTGAATTTACGCGGTACCGACCATTGCTAGTTCTCCCGTTCGCTACTCGTCCATTGCGTATTGCTTCTTTTCTCTTTCCCTCTCTTTCCGTTATCTCTATTTCCTTCCTCTAACTTTCTTCCATCTTTATATTCTCTCTCTCTCTCTCTTCTTTTTCTTCTCCTCGTTCTCTCTCTCTCGCTCTCTCTCTCTCTCTATCTTCTTCTCATACCCACACATACATACACTCATTCTTATTTCTCCCTCAACACCATTCTTTTCTATCTATTCTGTTCTTGCCTTCATGTCACACACGCGCACGCATGCACGAATGCGAGCGAGCGCGCGTGCGTTTACTGCACACACAAAAACATACATTTACTTCCTTCTTTTTCTTCCTTACGTTGTCATATACATGCAACTCGTACAACATTCTCCACGAATCTACGCGTCGCATTTTTGTCCACGTGTCGACGATTAAAATGTGTGTATATATATATATATATATGTGTATATATAGTTTACAAATTGAAATGGATTTTTATACGCGAGAACAGTTTTTCAAGCGTATTTCTTCGATCTCGGTCAGTCGATTGAGTGCATCTTAAAATTGAATATTCCATTTTGGGAAATGGAACGCGATTCTAACGATGGAAGCGAGTGATTGTTTTTGTGACTTTCGATCTGTTACCGCTACCACTACCGCTACCGCCACTCTTTAGTCACCACAGCCACCATCATCACCACAGCTACCAGTGTAGTACCACCACTACTCATTACCACCACCACCACCATCGCCACCATCACAACCACCAGCACCAATGCCGCCGCGTCCACCTCCACCACCATCATCGTCATCATCATCAGCACCGTCACGGACACTGACACGGACTTGTTCACGAGCTACAAATACCAACACCACCACCAATACGACTCTCATCGTAATCGCGATTGAACATCGAGCATGCCGTTCCTAAACAGAGTTTGATTTTTAAATCTAAATAACATACGGTTTCTTTATTTTCTCATTTTCTTTGAAAATTTCATCCCTTTTGAAACTTAAAAACGCACGCCGATTTTTTATCGTTTATTTTCACGTAAATGACTTCATCAGGCGGATTCGTAAAATGAACGATGTTTCCATTCTATGTGATATTTGTGGAGATTCCCAGAGAGAAAAAAAAAATGTTCCTATATTTTTTCCCCTAATCGAAAGTTTCCTTTCGGTTTCTGATCGAAATCCAATTTGTATCGAATTTGATTTGGTGTGTGTAATCATCATGTGCGTGCGCGCGAGGGCACGCGCATTCGCGAGTACGACTCGATCAATGTGTGCTTTATACGTTTCGTCATTCGCTATTTATTTAACAATCGTTTGTTTCTCAAACAAATCGGGTCATCAATTATGCGGAGATATTTTTCTATATTTTTTTTATCGTTTGTCCGACGAATGGAAAAATTTCTCGGCTAGTGATTGATTTCGAGCGAGGCGAAAGTATCGCAACGATGATGATATCGATCGCGGGTACAAATACATGATTCGACACGATGGAAATCGAGCACGTGTTGAGCGCGATGTTGAGCCGTTCGAAAGATCGATTCGTATATACGGACGAAAGGAAAGGATTCTCTTCCACGATCGATCGTATCCCCGAACTCGCGTCGAAACAAATGAAATTGTACGCGCAGCAAGTGACGCGTTACACGTAAAAAAGAAATATATTGAAATTTTCCATTGATAAGGATCGATTAGAGTGGAAAAGAAATCGCAAAGGATCAACTCAATCGTGTCGTCACGTGTCAACGCATCAATTTTTTCGCGTTTAAGATTTCTGATTTCGCGCTCGCGTACACCGTCGCAAATTGTGCCGCAGTTGTAGAAAAATATTGCTTGTTCGCGTTACAGGAAACGCATGCGACCAAAAGAGAAGAAAGTTACAACGTTGCAGCGTTGACGGTAAATGCAGGGTTCGGTGAATGTTGGAGGAAACAGAATGTCCAGCGAGCAAGCGCGAGCAAGCGCCATCGCGACGAAAGGTAAGTTTTAATCGTTTAAGATCTCCTCCGCTTTTATACTTTACGTTCGGAGTGACACGGAGAATAACGATCAATAAATTTCGGATGACGTATCGTAATTCGCGAATCGCGATTTACACGCGAAGGAAGCGGACCGTCGTCGAGGTCATCGTCAACGCTTGCGGTTGACGCTATTCTAACCGCGTGGGAATCAACGGTTCGCAAAGTCACCGTGACGCGTATTCGCGAACAATAATTGTCACGAACAGTGGACGCACAAGCACGGTAACGATAGCTGTAGGTAGTAAACTACCTGACCATGGCAAAGACCGCGTCTAAATGACGCGGTTAAAAATCTTTCTCGATATTGGGAATCGGTCGCGACACAATCGTGGAACGAGATCGCGAAATATATAGAAATTGTATTTGGAACGATGGTCGGTCGATCACGGCCGCGGTTCGCTTCTCACGGTTGATCGCGAAATCGCTGGCGCGCTCTCAACGTCAACGCGGAGGTTCATTCATCGTTTCGTATATATTTTCGATTCGTGCCACCCCTTCTCTTCCGCGATCGCACTTGTTGCCATTGAGCGTCGAGACGAGTCGTACGGGCGCATAGATCATCGATGCGACACGATGTGACGCGATTAGACCGGACCAGACGAAACGACACGGAGAGACGCAACGCGATTAGAAGAGGAGGGGGGCGGAGGGGGGGGGGGGAGGGAGGAAAGGAGGGCGAAACGGAAAATTAGAATTTCAAAGGGATCGGTTTTATTTTAATTGGCGTGAGCTAATTTTCTTAATGGCGATGCGCGTGGATTAAAAAAAAAAAAATGCAACGATATAAATGGCGTGGTCAGAGGGAAGGAAGAAGCAAAAATAAATCTCGAAACGCAGCGGGGATCTTTCGATCCGAAATAGATCATAGATCACCGACCGTTCTTATCCGTCATACGTAATCCGTGATCCACGATCAATCAGTAGAGTTATTTCCCGTTTTGAACGGCGAAACCTACGACTGATCGCGAACCGTGTGAAAGAGAGAGAGAGAGAGAGAGAGTGTGTGTGTTTGGAGGAGAGAGAGAGAGAGTGAGAGAGAAGAAGGAAGGAGGAGAGAGAGGAGAGAAGAAG